CAACCCTCGTCCCCTCCCTGACCCATAGATTGCTAGAGTGTACTCCCACTCCCTTCCAGACCTGCCCCATGGCACCCTGGACCTGGCTGAGCTGGAGAGGATGATCACATGGGGCCTCCGGAGCCCCTACCACCAGGTCTGCGAGCTCATTTGCCTGGAGAACTCACACAGCACCTTGGGGGGCCGGGTCCTCTCCATCGACTACCTACACCAAGTAGGCCCGGCCCCACCACGGTGCGCCCCCCACCAGCCTGATCCTGGCTTCCTGTGCCCCTGGCCCATCCTGGGGTTCAGTCCCCTCTGATTTGTGCCATGGGCACCCATCAGTGGCCAGACCTGTCACAGAAAGGACACATGTATGGTCCTAGGCTGAGACACAAAGGGAATTATTGCCCCAGGCCAGGTCCCCTAGTGCCTGCAGCAGCCCAAGAGCAGAGATGCCCCCACCTCCAAGCCCCGAGAGCCGAGTCCCAGAGCAGCACCAGGGTCTGCTGCCGCATCAGGCTGTAGGAACAAGCGTGTGTGAGTGCCCTCCACCTGGTCCTTGCCACCCACATGCGAGGTGAGGAGGCCGCAGTGTCTGAGCTCTGCTGTTTACCAGACACTAATTAGACAGCAGCCTAACTCTCCAAGCCTTGCGTTCCTTGCCTGTGAAATGGGAGCAATGGCGTCTCCCTTGAGTTGTCGTGAAGCCTAAATGAGGTGACACACATTTACCCTTGGTCCACGGCTAGCATTTGGCCCGTGGTCAGTGTGCGACAAAGCTGGGTTAAATGTGCACCCCCAGCCCCTCCCAGAGCCCAGCACGGAGGCTCAGGCAGCACAGCCTGACTGCTCAGGTCCCAGATCGACAGAGCCAGTCACCAGCCAGGTCTCCTGATCCCTCACGATTCCTCAGGCAGCTAAGCCCAGACCCCTCTTCCCTCTATGCCTCCCTCACGCCTGGCCCCTCTGACTGCCTGCACCTTGTCCCCAGGTGCACCTCATCTCCAGGTGCACCTCCTGGCCCAGACCTACAGGGCTTGGGTCCACCTGGATGGGGCCCAGCTGATGAACATGGCACAGGCCCTGCATGTCCCACCACCCACATTGTGGAGCACTGTGACTCTGTGTCTTTCTGCCTCTCCAAGGTGGGAAAGCCCTGGGCTGGCCTCCCACAGACAGGTGGGGTGGGGTGGAGCGCCCCAGCAGGAGGCAGTGTTGGATTCCTGAGCTCCATCCCTGGCAGCTGGTCCCAGGTTCCCCTTTAACACCTCTGCAGACAGGGCTATGCATCTGTGCCTACCCCGGGCCAAGGACAGGGATGTGGGCTGGCAGGAGTCTCTCCTCTCCACCTCCCAGGGCCTGGGCGCCCCAGTAGGGTGCTGGGAGGCTGAAGGACTTCATTGAAGAAGCTTGGTGCCTCCAAAAAGCCCTGGGTGGAGGCGTGCACCAGGTGGGGGTGCTGGCCGCGGCAGCCCTGGTGGGACTGGCTGACACAGAGCAGGCACTGCAGCGGGACCACGGGAACGCCCAGAGATTCACCAAAGGTGCCTGGACAGGACACCCCACCCTCGCTTCCTTGTGCTTCCTCTGACTTGGCTTGAGCTGTGCTGTGGAGGGTCCCCCAGCAGGTCTGCAGGCTTCTGGACCCTGGGACTCAGGGTGGCCGTTGAGTCACTAGGGCGGGACCCAGGGCACCAGCTGCTTCAGCAGGCCCTACTCAGTGCAGAGTCTAGCCTGAGGAAGCCCTCGGTGGATGGCCAGGATTGTAATGCTCCACAGAGTCTGGCAGAGCCTCTAACCCAGGTCTTTCATCTCTTCACTGAGTCCTCCAACAACCCCCTGACGTCCCTACTTCACAATGAGGACACAGAGGCCCAGAGAGGTCATAGGTTTGTCTGAGATCACACAGCTAAACGCAGCAGAGCCCAGTCTGTGTGACTGCAAAGGCCAGGCTCTTCCTTCCCCCACAGCAACTGGACTGCCCCCTGCCTCCCGGGTGACCTCTCTGGGCAATGGGGTCAGGGTCAGGGCCTGGGGTGGTCTCCGCTCACCTCAGGACCTGGCCCAGGACTCCAGGAGCTGGTGGTGTCCGTCTGCTCCCTTGATCCCACCTTCACGGAGACAGACATGATGATGGTGAGCGTGGCTGGGTTGCGGGCTGGGAGCGCTGATGAGATGGCCCACACTGGCCACGTGGTGTGCCTGCCGCTGTTCCTATGGACAGAGCAGTCGCCATGGGCACCACCACATCTGGGCACGGGACACTGAACTGGTGCTGAGGAAGTGGGAGTTTGTGCTGAGGCCGTTGGAGTCCTGAGGACGGAGTGACTGGACCCTGTGCCCGGGCTGGGATGGAAGCAGGGAGTGGAGGTGCTCCCAGCAAGCAGGCAGCAGAGGAGGCGTTACCTGCTCCTGGGGCTCTTTGATCCCCTTCACCCCCACAACACTCAGGGTCAGGACCTCCCCCGTGCTTGTCAGCACACCCTGAGTTCCTCCAGCGTCTGGGACAGGGTGCAGGGACAGGAAGGACACCCTTCTAGCTCCCATCACCAGAGCTCGGGAGGCAGCAGGGCTGGCCTTCACTCTGGGTCACAGAGGAGCCCTTTGTTCAGGGCCGCGTGGCCAGTGACAGCTTCCTGAGTTCAGGAAGGGAACCGTGAGAAGGAAGCAGTAAGGGATATGGTAACTTGATGGTGAGGGCTTTAACTGCCGTGGTGAGGGATTTCCACTTTATCTTGTGGTCCTCTAATACGTCTTTTCCTTTTTAGGAAATAAATGACTCAGGCCTGGGCATGGTGGTGTGAGCCACCAGCACTCTGGGAGGCCGAGGCAGGCGGATCACTTGAGGTCAGGAGTTGGAGACCAGCCTGGCCAACGTGGTGAAACCCCATCTCTACTAAATATACAAAAATTAGCCAGGCATGGTGGTGCATGCCTGTAATCCCAGCTACTCGGGAGGCAAAGGTGAGAGAATCGCTTGAACTGGGGAGGTGGAGGTTGCAGTGAGCCAAGATTGCACCACTGCACTCCAGCCTGGGTGCCAGAGCAAGACTCCATCTAAAAAAAGAAAAAAAAAAAGAAATTACTCTGCTTAACAAAATAATATGTCTGTATTGTAGATGATTTGGGAGTAACTCTCACTTTTAGCAATTCTTAGGGTAATTCAGGCAGACTCAAAAAAAAAAAAAAAAAAAAAAAGCCAGGCATGGTGAGGTGTGCATCTGTGGTCCCAGCTACGTGAGCGCCTGGGGTAGGAGGATCACTGAAGTCCAGGAGGTGGAGGCTGCAGTGAGCTGAGATCACACCACTGCATTCCAGCGACAGAGGGAACTGCATTAGCTGAATAATCCTCTTGCAGGTGGTGCGCTCACACAGCTGATGCGCGCTGCTGCTGGTGGTGGAGGCCTCAGTCCTGCCCACGTGAACATCTCCTCAGGGCTTCCTGGGTGTCTTCGCAGTCTGATGACTTGCTTCCCCTAGGGTGAACAGTCTGAGACCGAGGCAGAAGCTGCATTTTTATGACCTCTTCCCACACTGGTACTTCTTGACACCCAAGTCAGCTCTGACTCAGTGTGGTAAGGCCGACAGAGGGGTGAGCACCAGGAGATAAGGACAGATGAGGGCTCTTTTGGGGGCTGCCTACTGCATTTATAAATGCCGGCTGGGCATGGGGCCTGAGCTCACGAGAAGCCCCTGTCCTCACAGAGGTCAGGCTCCTGGCAGGGGCACCCACCAGGTGGTGCAGATAAACATGCCAGAGTGGGATGCAAGCACGCCCAGGACCTGGCGGAGCTGGGCCAACCCTGGAGAAAGGGCTTTGCTGTGGTGAGAGGAGCAAGAACCTTTGATGCTGGGGGAAGGGCTTCTGAGTCAGGGCTGGTTTCCAGCACGCACACACGCTCGCTCACACACACGCACAGGACACCTCTGGATGGACGGGCGCACAGCTGGTGACAGTGTTTACTCGCCTTTGTGCTGTTTGTGACACACAGGCATGTGTTACCTATTTTGAAAAGTTCTAAGAAAAATCGAAGAGGCCCACTTGGGCCCGTGGATCCAACCGTGGGAACCACCACTACAAGGGGATTTGATGCACAGGCGCTCTCCTCTTGCTGTAAACAATGCAGCACCATTTGAGCCTGATGTCATGTTGTCTATTCTGGGTGACCTTGAACCATGTACTGTCTCTTCCCTGGGAGGCACTCATCCGCCTCTTAATCACACCTGCAAAGCCTGACACTCAGAGAACCATGAACACAGACAGAACCCTTGGGCCAATCACTGTGGAGACTAGCCAGAGAGTGAGGAGTTAACTGGCCAATCAGAGGGGGTAGGAACACTGGCCAATCAGAGAGTGTGGCACATTAACTGGCCAGAGTGGCGTCAACTAGCTAATCAGAGGGTGAGGGATGTGGCTGGCCAATCAGAGTGAAGGAGTTGACTAGCCAATCAGAGCATGAGTGAGTCCACTGACCAACCAGAGGGTGAGGGATATGGCTGGCCAATGAGAGAGTGAAGAAGTTACCTGGCCTGGCTGAATTCCACACCCCCTAGAACAGGTGGAGGCAAGGTGGGCAGGTCTGTTCTGGAAGGGAAGGTGCAAGCAGCACATTCCCCCCGACACACACACTCTCCGGGAACTCTGCTGGTCCCAGCAGCCCCTCCCCAGTGTCTTCCCCAGTGTCCTATCCCCAGAGCCCAAGCCCATCTGCCGTGAGAAGCCTGAAGTTAGCCTTACACCCCTGGCTTCCCAGCAAACTCCCGGGAGAAGCCTCCTCAGCAGAGGCGGGGGGCCAGGAGGAGAGGAGTCCCCCACACCTTTCTCCCCAAGCTGAGAGGACATGCCCACGAAGCCAGCCCTCGTTTCCAACACGGAGCCCCAGGTCCTGGCCTCCCTGTGCTGACCTGGGAATAAGTAGGCTTGTGTGTCTGCAGATGACTTCACAGTGGACACACACGTGCACACACGCTCTCAGAACACCTCTGGATGGATAGACAGACACGTGCACAGCTGGTGACAGTGTTTGCTCACCTTTGTACTGTTTATGACAGACGGGAATGTGTTACCATTTTGAAAAATTCTAGCAAAATAAAAGGCTTATATTGCACACAGCACAAGTGATTTACGTAAGAACAAATAGGCACGATGTTCCCACATGGAATGGTAAACATTCAAACGCCGCGAGGAAGAGGAGGCCGGGCTCACCCCGCCCAGATTGGTCCTCACTGGGCCTCACCAAAACTCTGCCACCGCCTCAAGCTCCCAGGAGCTTCCTTAACCTTTGAATCAATAAGGAGACCTCGGGGTGGGGCAGGGAGGAAAACGATCAAGCTACGAGAGGCCGCCACCTTCCCCAGCACAGCTCTCAAGACTCGGGAAGGGCCCCCAAACCCCAAACGGGGCTGTTTACTGCTTCCACATGTTGCACAGACCCTGGGAACCCTTCTCCTGCGGCCGCCTCAACTGTCCATCTGCATAATGGTGGGCGTGCCCCAGCTTTTGTGGTCTAAGGGGACTCAGGTGTGTGCTGGCCATCCCTGTTCTCACCTATCTCTCCCTGGGACCTGCAGTGGGCCTGGGCCTGCAAGCTGAGCCCCTCCCAACCTGGGGTTCTGCCCTCTGTTTAACAAGTCTGCATCCCAAACTCCAGGCCCAGCCCTGCGCCACCCCAGGCAGCCCGGGTCCCTGTGGTCAAGAAGTCCCCTCAGCCAGGCCCCCTTTGAAGCAAGCAAGGAGTGGCCCCAAACTCCTCCACCACGGCATGACACCCCCATGCCACCCTTCTGGGACTTCCATCTCTGCCAGCTCAGTGTGCCCACCAGGGCACTCACAATGGCATACCTCCCCCAGGTTGCTGCAGAGAGGAAGGGTCAGGGGCCAGAAGCAGCAGAGCCTGTGCCAGGACAAGGACAGAGACCTGGGCACCTGCTCTCCCCAGAAGCGTTCAGTGAAAAGTACCTGGCAGGCTTGAAAACAAGGGAGCGGACGGAGGGGCACATCTGGCTGGCTCAGCTCCTCGCCCCCCCACACCTGTAAGTCAGAGGGAGCTCTTGGGCCCTCTCAGCCTCTTCTCCACCAAGCTGGCCCTCCAGGGAGAGTGGACAGAACGAGGCCAGGGAAGCCTTGGCCTGAAATGGCATCTCTCTGGTGCTAGGTGATCTGGGTGGGTCCCTCTGCCGCTCTGGGCCTCAGTCTCCCCCTCTGTAAAATGGATAAAGGGTAGCCATTGAGTAGGGCCACTGTGGGACTGGAGAGCAGCATGGAGCCCAGCCCCACGGCATTTAACAGACACCTACTTTTCTCCCAGGTCCTTAGGAATGAGGGTAGCAGCGGCTCATGAGCCTGCTGGGGGAGGGGTGAGTTCAGGCCACACCCTTGAGGCGCCCCCACCCAACTCTGCCACTCAGCCTGGGCCACCTGGGCACTTCCTCTTTCTGGACTGGTTCTTCTCATCTCTAAGAGGCAGTTGAACCAGTTAGTCCCTAATGAGCCTGCCGGGGCAGGGGAGCCTCCCCAAATATCTACGGAGAAACCTGAGCTGGGTTCTTGGCTCTGCCCCCAACCCCTTGTCACCCCCAGGGCTGCTTTCTGGCCAGGACCCCAGCCAGACCCAGGGAAGGGATTCCCAGACTCTCAAGGGGCCCTGGCCCTGACAGCCCAATCCCAGGAGGTGCAAAGGGAAACCCAGCCCCCTCTCACCTCCCTCCCACCTGCTGGGGGCTCAGATGACCACAGAGTGGGGGGCTCAGGCTGAGGGTCCGGGCGGCTGAGAGCAGGAGGGCTCCGCTGAATGCCTCTGAGGCACAGGAGCCCCAGGCCAGGGCCATGGACCAGCCGAAGCTGATGCGGACGCCCTGCACGTGCTGTGGGCCGTACTGCCGCGCCGTCTCCGCGAAGGCCAGGTGCGAGTAGCTGATGTAGATGCTGACCCCTGCCAGGGTCAGGACACCTGGGGGAGAGATGGGGCGGGCAGCTGCTCCGTGTCTGCTCCAGCGGGCCCAGGCCCAGGTGGTCCTGCAGATACCGCCTCAGCATCCCCGCCCCGCTGGCATTCAGGCAGAGCTGCAGGCAGCACACCACCCTTCCTGTCCTGGTTAGCCTTGCCTGGCTATCAACCTGGCCCCCAGACACCTACTCCTGCTTGGGGTCAGACAGGACCCCAAGATAGTCAACTGCATTTGGGGGAGTGGAGCTTTAAGAGGCTCCAATTCAGTCCTCAAACCCCAGAGACCTCATCCCACAAAGCCTCTGCAAACAGTGCCGCCTGCCCCTCAACATGGTTCCCACTCACATAACTGCCCCCACACACCCTGTACCCTCCATGGCCCCCAGCACACACACGCACATGCACACACGCATGTACACGTACACATTCGCACACATTCGCACACAGCCAGCCATGGCCTCTGCTGGCAGCAGGGTTGCCCAGTGCTCTGAGCAGAGTGAGCCCCTGCCCTGCCCCCCCGCCTCCTCTTCCTCACACCTTCGCCCTCCCTACCTCTGGGGCTAACATCCCCTCCGACTCTCCTTCCAGAGCCCCCCTGTCCGCCCAGCTCTGAGTTTCGGGCCCTTTCTCAGGGGAGGATGCCTGCCCTGGGCCCTCCTCGCTCCTCCCTCCCACTCTCCACGTGGTCAAAGCTGTTGTCAAAGGAATGAAGCCAAGCTTTGCACAGGGTGGCAGGCACCAGGTTTCATCCAGCAGTTCAGGGTCCAGCGAAGAGCTGGGCAGGGGACTCAGCCCATGCCTTATTTTCTTGTCCGCTGGGCTTGAAGGAACCAGCCTGGAGTGCCACCCGCTTCCCACAGCTTCAGGCTGATGAGAAAGCCTGTCCTTGGTGCCGACTGTAGGGAATGTTAGCCAGGGGGGCAGGTGGCCCTGATTTCCCCACAGGCACTTCCTGGGCGCACAGGGTCCCCTCTGGGCACTGCCCAGCCAAAAGAAGGCCACTGACCCAAGCTGACGTTCAGGGCCAGGTCTGGATCTCACTGGTGCCCAGTGAAGGGGCACAACCCAGCCTGGTCTTCTGTGATTCCCCCTGGGAAGAGTGGGAAGAAGATGCCATGGGGAGGCCGGGGGAGGGAGGACATATAGGAGCCTGCCCGGCTGGGCAGTGTAGCAACAGAAATTATGGATTTACTTTGGGGAGGAATGTGAAGCCAAATTGAATGAAGCAGGCCCTGGGAGAAGCAGGGGTGGGGGTCAGCCCCCAGCAGCGGGTTTGACTGCGCGGCAGGAGGTGCCTGTCTCTGCCTGCAACACTGGCCTCAGCTGCAGCCCAAGGCCCCACTTCCTGGCAGGCCGCCCCACCAGCTGAGCACTCTCCAAGCACCAGCTGCCTCCTGTAGACTGGCCGAGGACACGGCCTTTCTCCCAAAATGAAGGCGAAGAGTAAGTTCCCACGCTGGGACCTGAAGTGCCTTCCGACTCCCTGGTGAGGGGGCCTGGGCTCAGCTCCTGGCAGACCTCTCTCTCAGCCTCCCGCCTCCTAAAGGAGGCTTCCGCAGCTGGCACCTGCAGCCTCAAGCTGGGAAACTCTAGGGACTGTGTCACCGTGGGCCCTGTCGGTCCTCCAGGCCCCCCATGATCCTGTCTCAGGGAAGGGCACCCAATCCGTCTGGGGTGCTCCATCTCCCTCCCGCTCCTTGCAGTGCTAGTGAGGGGTGAGGGCTGAGCTGACCCTAGGCAGGTGCCCTTGGTGTGACATCCTGAGAGCCCTCTGTGCTTCGGCCCACAGCTGACCCTCATTCTAGGAGTGGAGGCCCCTTCTGCCTGGGGAGGCTGGAGTCGCAGTGGAACCCCTACCCATCCACCAGCTACCTCCAGCCCCTCCGCCTCCTAGCCAGTGCCTTCGATCCCAGGCACAATGCAGAGGGTCCATGTCCCTGTAAGTTCTTCCTGTTACAATCCCGACCCAATCATTCCTGTCACTGTCTCCTGGTTACAATCCCAACCCAATCATTTCTGTCACTGTCTCCCGGTTACAATCCCAATCCGATTACTCCCGTCGCTGGCCCCGAAGGTCCTCGTGATTGGATTTTGAACACTCACAGATGGGCGCCAGGGTCCGGTCATTCGGATTCTTCCTGATTTCATCGTCTAGAGGAGACCTTGACTTCAATGTTGCTCTCATGTGGCCTGTGATCAATGCCAGGGCTGCTGGCTTCCCCAATCTCTGCACCCAGCCGGGCCTCCTCAGTGGCAGAGGCCTCCCAGAGAAGCAGAGAGGGTGCCCCCAGCCCTGGACGGTCCGCTCCTTGTGGCCACGGCCTTGACAGTGGAGCTGGCCTGAGACACCAGGCCTGGCTCAGGCCTGGCCTTGGTTGACAGGGGCGGCTGAGGACAGACCGTCTGGAGCCCCCAGTCTACCTTCCACAACAGCTAGCGCTGGGCAGTCGGTGGAAACTGAGGAGACAGCACAGCGGGATTGGAGCCCAGGCCCTCGTCCCTCTCCAGGCCTCAGATTTCTCACCTGCAGCTGGGACTGAGGAGCTTCGGAGGAGCACTTGGCCAGCACTCGGCATGTAGTCAGAGCTGGAGCCATGTCAGCGGATGGGTAGTTACCGGTTACAGTCTCAGCTTGTGCTGGGGTCAGAGCTGAGGCCTCTGGTGCCCCGTTGCACCTGCCTTCATGCCTGGCCCTGCCTCCTCTGTGCCAAACCCCTGAGCCCTTGCTTCTCCCACCAGGACAGTGTGGGAAGGAGAAGGTGTGGTAAGGGGCTGGCCCCAGGTCCCCCAGCATGATCTGAGCCAGCAAAGCAGGTCCTGGGGTTGCCCTGTAGGCCCTCATCACCCCCTCTCCCCGCCATCAAGAAGCTTGGACCCTGGGGCTCCTCCCTGTCCCAGGCTCTGACCCACAACCAGAAGCCCTGCTCCTATCACGGTGCTATGGTTTGGTGTCCCAGCCCAAATCGCATGTGAAATGGTAATCCCCAGTGTTGGAGGTGGGGCCTGGAGGGAGGTGACTGGATCATGGCGATGGCTTCTCTTGAATGGGTTAGCACCATTTCCCTTGGTGCTGTTCTCTGGATCGTGAGTGAGTGCTGAGATCTGGTTGTTTAAAAGTATGTAGCACCGAGCTGGGTGCAGTGGTTCACGCCTGTAATCCTGGCACTTAGGGAGGCTGAGGCAGGTGGATTATCTGAGGTCAGGAGTTTGAGATCAGCCTGACCAACATGGAGAGACCCTGTCTCTACCCAAAATACAAAATTAGCCGGGTGTGGTGGCACATGCCTGTAATCCCAGCTACTCAGGAGGCTGAGGCAGGAGAATCGCTTGAACCCGGGAGGCAGAGGTTGCAGTGAGCCGAGATCATGCGATTGCACTCCAGCCTGGGCAACAAGAGCAAAACTCCATCTCAAAAAAAAGGAAAAAAAAAGCACCTCCCTACTCTCTTCCTCCTGTCCCAGCCATGTGAAATGCTGGCTCCCTGGCTTGGCCTTCCACACATGATTGTCATTTTCCTGAGGCCTCCCCAGAAGCAAAGCAGATGCCAGCGTCATGCTTCCTCTACAGTGTGCAGAACCATGAGCCGATTAAACCTCTTTATAAGCCCAGCTAATTTTTGTATTTTTAGTAAAGATGGGGTTTCACCATGTTGGTCAGGCTGGTCTTGAACTCCTGACGTCAGATGATCCACCCACCTCAGCCTCCCAAAGTGCTGGGATTACAGGCATGAGCCACCGTGCCCAGCCTAAACCTCTTTTCTTTATAAATTACTCAGTCTCAGGCATTTCTTTATAGCAATGTGAGAACAAATACACATGGGTACCTTCTGGAACCACAGGGAGCTGCCTGCCATGGCTTCATCACCAGGCTCAGCACCCGCCCAGAGGGAAGCAGGGGACGAGGGCCACAGTAGAGGCAGCACCCCACTCCCGGGACCTGTGGCCCAGCTCCCATCTTTGGAGCCACTCTCCCAGGGCCCCAGACTCACCCCCCAGCAGGAAGTAGCAGCCGGTGAAGAGCAATAGAGGCGCGCTCTGGGCCAGGGAGCTGAGCAGGCCGCAGATCCAGCCGCACACGAGAAGGACCAGGCTCAGGGGCAGGACCACCATGACTGCTCGGTGCAGCACTGCAGGAGAGGGGGCTCAGGTGAGAATTCTGGCCCAGGTAGGCCCTTCAGCGCTTGTCTGCCAGAGGACAGTGACATGGTACTTCATCTTCTCAGGAAAAGCGGCTGACGCCCATCTCCGTGAAAACCACTGGACCTTCCCAGTGGCCCCCTCTCGCCCTGGCAGGGGCTTCCTAAGGCCGGGAGAAGGAGGCGTTCCCAGAACCCTCCCAACCCCCATCCCCAGGTCTCACATGTCCCCCAACCCGCCAGGTGGAAGGTGCCAGTCAGGTAGACAGCAGGCCATCTGGAAGAACCGAGTCCTAAATGGGGAGCCAGGAGTCTGCAGGGCCCACAGGATCCAGCCACGCTCGGAGCTGCCTGCTTCCCCAACAACAAAGGGATGAGCCTTCGCCACTGAGAGGGAAACTGAGACAGGGGAAAACAGGACAGGCTGGGAGCCGGGCACCTGTGGTTAGGCACAGTAGCACAGCACTGGGACAGGTCTGTGTGGAAACGTCCTCTTGGAGATGCAGGGGCGGTGGAAGCAGTGCTGTGGGATGGGGATGGGGATGGCTGGAATCCAGCCTTGCTTGAATATTTGGAAAGGATAAGGAGGTGGCCCCACCCAGGACTCACAGACGAGGTGCTGCACCGAGGTGGAGACGTCCAGGCTCTCACTGGCGAAAGGGTCAACCAGCGGGATGCAGCTGTTCTGCCCTGGGAAACAGAGGCCTCGAAGCCTAGGGCCTGGATGCCGTGAGGCACCCAGCAGCCTAACTGAGCCCAGGGGACCCCCCGGCACCACAGGGCTCTGCCAGCTTCTCTCTCATGCTGAAACTGGGGGCTGGGACTCCAGGTGGGATGAAAGGCCCAAGACCTTTCGCCTTGTTTATTTTCACATGCAAGTTATGCCTGCACAGATGCATTTTTAAAATTTCAAACGCTCCATGGAGGCTCCCTCAGAGTCCCTCAGGCAGGGGTCCTTGTAATGCATTTGTGTGTGGAACTCAGGCTTTCCTTTGGATCAGGAAAAAGGTGTGTGCAAAACGGGTTCCTGGGAAACCCTGCTCCAGAGTCTTCCTGACTCGTGTCATGTGGGCGTACATACTGTCTGGTTCTCACACGCGTGCAGAGCCACCTGCATAGGCACATGCGTGTGCACACCTGTACACAGGTGCAAGTCAGGAGGTCTTTGTAGCACAGTTAGGCACAGTCTATTGGATGGATGAACACACGGCTCCTAACTCCTCCCCAGTTGCACTGAGGAAGCCACCAGCACACGCGCACCACCCACACTTGCACTCACTCATATACATGCCCACACACTCTCACATGCACATACATGCACACTAACATGCTCACACACACTCATATTCACATGCACACACAACTACACACACTCACACATTCATGTTTACATACACAGCCAGGTGCTCACACGTGTCTATGTTCAGCACACGCACACATATTCAGATGCGCACACACGCTCACTCACACTCAGACCTCCCTGCCATGCCAGCCGCCTGTGCAGGGGAAGCTCCCCAGGCGCCCGCAGCTCCTGAGGAGGGAGCTGGGGGGAATGGAGGGGGCCCTGTGGACCCTCCAGCCTCCTCTCTCCCTGTGCTCTGAAGCCTCTGCACACATTTGGAACCCCTGTCCCCGCCGCATCAGGAGGTGTGGGGTGAGCAGCTCTGACGGTGCCTGACAGGGAGGGGGACAAGGGGCTGCAAGGCCCAAACCCCGGGGAGGGCGATCAAGAAACAACCCCTGGTGACTTGGATGAGGCCCCCCAGCTACACACCTGGAGGCTTCCCTCCCGGACCCTCGCCCCACAGCCCCCTCCTCCGGCTGTGAGGGGCCCTGAACAGGGCTCCCTCCCTCCTGTAGCCCCTGGACTGTCAGTTTTGGGGGGAGACGGAGGGTGATGGGGAGGGAGCTGAGAGACACCCTGGGGCAGAGCGGGATGCAAGGGAGGGGTCCTGGGAAGGGGTCTGGCGGGGCGACACGGGCGGGGCGGGGTTGGGGGGTGTCGGAGGGAAGAGGTCGCCGAGGGAGGAGGGCCGGCGGGGTGGCTGGTTACCTTCGCAGATGCGCCAGAGCCCCGAGTGCGAGGAGAGCAGCTCTGCGCGCCCGGGCCCGGCGCTGCCATTGCCGGCGTCCGCCACCTCCAGGATGTACCAGTAGTCGCTGGCGACCGCGGCGGCCAGGAGCGCGAAGCTGAGCAGCGCACCGAGGGCGGCGGCCAGGAGCAGCACACGCAGCCGGGCCATGGGGGCGGCCGGCGGGGCGGGTGGGGACGGGTCGGGGGTAGCGGGGCCCGGGGGGTGGCGGGGGACGCGCGGAGCCGGGAGCCGGGGGGCGGGCGCGGCGGCGCTCGAGGCTCTTCTGGGCACGTCCCCGGTCCTGCCCGCGCACTGGCCTCGCGGGCCCCCTGGGGTCGCAGGGAGCTCGCCCCTGGGAGAAAGGAGAGGAAGTCGGGAGCCGCGCGGCGAACCCGGGACCTGGGCTCCAATCCCAGCGTCCCCATGTGCCCTGGGCACGTTGCTTAATCTCCCCGAACCCCGGCATTTCAGCAGCCAAATGGGATGCGCCTGTCTGGCCGGGCTGTGCAGGGCTTGGGAGGAGGAGGGAGGGTCTGCCAGAGACAGACCCCAGGAGGATGGCCGGCTGGGAAGCAGGACCACCCACCCGCGCTCCTGGAAGCATAGGAGCCTGGCACGGGCTGGCCCTGGGGTCCTGTATCAGTCCTGAGGACCAACCAGACGGCAAGTGTAGTGCGTGGGCCCCGCGGCTGGGCCGGGGGCTGAGGAAGGAAAAAACCTTGCTTTGGATTCGCTCATAATTACAAATGCCCCCTCCAGCAAGGCCGGCCTCTGCCTAGCCAGCCACTCACGGAGCAAACAGGCAGAAAGACTCTTCTAAGACAGGCGTCAGGTGCCAGTAGGGGTGGGAGGCAGAGGAGCCGCAGAGAGGCACCCCCTCCCCCCACCCAGGAGTAGCCCCATGAGCAACCCCGCGTAGGAAGCCACGCAGGTGGAAGGGACAGGCCAGGCAGCCATCAGTAAGGTCTGGGGTTAAATCTTAAACGAAGGGGAGGCTTCCTCTGGGTCGCCACACAGAGCAGGGCAGAGCCTGAACAGAGGGGGTCAGAGGTCTGAGGACATCCTCTCGCATGGTGGCCCTTGGAGGTGAAGCCAAGGCTGTCTTCTTGGGGTGTTTTGGCCATGCTTTCCTCCGCTAGGCTCTTGTTGGTTTGAGGAATATAGTCAGGAAGGGAAAACCAGCCTAGCAGTTATGGAAACAATATTTCAAAGGGAGTTCAGACAGAGTGACAGAATGGCTCAGGTATTTTGTAGCTGTCCTCACACCTGAGTGCCAAAGACTGCCTTGCTGCTCGTGGGTGGCTCTGGGGTTTTCCAGCCCCTTTGGAGCTGGGGCTTCCCTGACCACAGCCCCTCTCTGGGAGCCGTATGGCATCCGGCAGCCCTGTTCTCTAGGGGTGGGGATAGCTTGTTAGGTCTGGAAGGTGAATGAACTCAACAGGTGCTCAGAGAGTAGCAGCTGCCATGAAGGCAGAGGTGATAGGGATGGGGGGTGGGGCCTCGTGCCCTCCCTAAACTCACTACAGCTGGGGAAAGAACAGTGCGTAATGAAAACTCGTGGTGCTGACACTGACCCCACAATAAAGCGATATAACAAGAATCAATATTGCTTTGTTTGGGTCAGCGCCTTTGTGCGTGCGAAAGGTACGCATTGACTGTGTGGGGGGAACAGAGGAGCCCCATTTGGGCTGCGTGCTCCACGTGTGTCCTCCCGTTCTCTTCTACTTATTTTTTTAGAGACAGGGTCTCCCTATGTTGACCAGGCTGGTCTCGAACTCCAGGGTTCAAGTGATCCTCCTGCCTCGGCTTCCCAAAGTGCTGGGATTATAGGCGTGACCCACTGCGCCCAGCTTCCCCTTCTCTTTAGCTGAGAGCTGGTTTGAGAAGATCTGTTATTGCGCCCACATAAAGCTTACATAGGGCCAAATGTGGTGGAATGAGCCACCTGTGGTCTCAGCCACTTGGGAGGCCAAGGTGGGAGGATGGCTTGAACCCAGGCAGGAGGTTGAGGCTGCAGTGAGCTGTGGCTGTGATCAATAGAGTGAGACCCTATCTTTAAAAATCGAAAAAAGACCAGGTGTAGTGGCTCAGGCTTGTAACACTTAACACCACTGTTATTTAGAGGGAGATTTCGGCCGGGTGCAGTGGCTCACGCCTATAATCCCAGCACTTTGGGAGGCCGAGGTGGGCTGATCATGAGGTCAGGAATTCAAGACCAGCCTGACCAACATGGTGAAACCCCGTCTCTACTAAAAATACAAGAATTAGCTGGGCCTGGTGGTGTGCGCCTGTGGTCCCAGCTATTTGAGAGGCTGAGGCAGAAGAATCACTTGAACTCAGGAGGCAGAGGTTACAGTGAGCTGAGATGGTGCCCCTGCACTCCAGCCTGGATGATAGAGCGAGACTCTGTCTCAAAAAATATATATATAAAATAAAAAGACCAGGCGCGGTGGCTCATGCCTGTAATCTCAGCACTTTAGGAGGCCAAGGCAGGTGGATCACTTGAGGTCAGGAGTTTGATACCAGCCTGGCCAACATGGTGAAACCCTGTTTCTACTAAAATTACAAAAATTAGCCAGGCGTGGTGGCTCACGCCTACAATCCCAGTTACTCAGGAGCCTGAGGCAGAAGAATCGCTTGAACCCGGGAGACGGAGGTTGCAGTGAGCCGAGATCACACCACTGCACTCCAGCCTGGGCAAAAGAGCAAGACTCCATCTAAAAAAAAAAAAAACGTAACGCAGCTGTTATCTAGAAGGAGGTTTCGGCCGGGTGCAGTGGCTCACACCTGTAATCTCAGCACTTTGGGAGGCCAAGGCAGGCGGATCATGAGGTCAGGAGATCGAGACCATCCTGGCTAACACAGTGAAACCCTGTCTCTACTAAAAATACAAAAATTAGCCGGGCATGGTGGTGGGCGCCTGTAGTCCCAGCAACTCAGGAAGCTGAGGGAGGAGAACTGCATGAACCCGGGAGGCGGAGGTTGCAGTGAGCCGAGACAGCACCACTGCACTCCAGCCTGGGCAACAGAGCGAGACTCCATCTGAAAAGAAAAAAAAAAAAGAAGAAGGAGGTTTCAGCATCACAGAGCCGCGTCTCTGCAGAATGGACACGTGTTTCACTCATGCTGCAGTGCTAGGAGACAGCCTTGTTAGCAATCCATACCCCATCTGCATGAGAAAGCCTGGGTTCAGCGTTTCCAACCCTAGATGTGCAGCTGGAACCACTGATTACATTGTCCCCGAGGCAGCAGGCACCAGCCTTCGAGGGGCTACTTTGATGAATTCTGCTAGTATATGTCCCTTGAAATGGACCCAAATTATACCCTAGCCCAGTATGAAAAGGCACTGCTTTAGAACAACCCATTATTTTTCATTATTCATCATTCTTTCATCAGCTTGGAGCTCCAAGCTTGTCTCTAGGCTGTCAGGCCTCTTCCAAGCCAGCATCAGACTCCTATCACTGAAATCAGTGCCAAATGGGCTTTTGATGGACGAAATTCCAGTTATAAGTGACAAAAAACGATGTGGCATCCAAACCTCTTCTTTTTTTTTTTTTTTTCCCCCAGAGGTGAGGTCTTGCTCTGTTGCCCAGGTTAGAGTGGTACAGTGGTGTAGCGGTGTGATCGCGGCTCAATGCAACCTCAACTTCCTAGCACGAGTGTTTCTCACACCTCAGCCTCCAGAGTAGCTGGGATCAGAGACATGTCACAGCATTCCCAGGTAATTTTTTAAATTATTATTTTGGTAGAGACAGAGTCTTGCTTTGTTACCCAGGCTGGTCTCAAACTCCTGGCCTCCAGCAGTATTCCCACCTCAGCTTCCCAAAGTGCTGGGATTACAGGTGTGAGCTACTGCACCCTGCCTCTCTTATTTTTATTTTATTGATTGATTGTTTTTTTTTGTTTGTTTGTTTGTTTTTAGACAGTGTCTCGTTCTGTTGCCCAGGCTGGAGTGCAGTGGCATGATCTTGACTCATTACAACCTCTGCGTCCCAGGTTCAAGCAATTCTCCTGCTTCAGCCTCCTGAGTAGCTGGAACAATAAGCACCCACCACCATGCCCGGCTAATTTTTTTTGTATTTAGTGGAGGCTGGGTTTCACCATGTTGGTCAGGCTGATTTCGAACTCCTAACCTCAGATGATCACCCACCTCAGCCTCCCAAAGTGCTAGGATTACAGGCATGAGCCACCGCACCCGGCCCTGCCTCTTCTTGTAAACCCATATGTAACTACCTGGAGCCAGCAGCTGGAGGACCAGCAGGCCTGGCCCTTGTGATGCCAGCGGGCAGAGCCCTCTGCTCCAGGCTGATGACACCATCTGCCACCTCCCCCACAGGGCTGGGGAAGCAGCTGGAGCCGTGGCTGAGTCACTGTTGGAGCAGCTCAGTGCCACCTTTGCTGCAACTGATTTCACTGCATTGACAAACATCCCCCCACAGAAAATGAACCTTGCTGAGTTTTCCTGTCCAACCGGTCAATTCATTCACTCAGGGCATTAGGAAGCTAATCCCCCCGGTAGACTCAAAGCCACTGTTCGAGTCAAAACCCCACATTCTAAAGGCTCTTACATGGTTGGGGCCATAGGTTAGAACCATGCACCTTTTCACTTTTCGTTGACAGTGTTATTGTTTGTGAGATGTGGTCATGATTGGGAGGCAGCCGAAGAGCGAGGAGGTCTCATCCCCAAGCACAACTCCCAGGCCTGTGAGGGGCTCAGCACGGTCACCCAGGCTTCCCCAGCACCTGCCCGGCGATCCTGGCAGCCCAACAGGGTTCCACTCTCAGGGAGGCAGGCAGGCGCCTCCAAGGCCACACGGGGTTGCTAAGGGACAAGCTTCTCGGGCAGCCGTGCTTTGGGCACTGCAGCATCTGCCCAGCATCCCGGATGGTGGCTGGAAATGATATTCTGGAGAAATAACTTCCTCAAAGGGAAATGAGTTTGTATTTTCTAGAGTGAAAGTTCCTCCCCAGACAAAGCTGAGACCTGCACTGGCTTTGAGAGACTAAATGTCTTGCTGGGAGGCTTTGACTCACTGGGTAACGTGGAATGGGCAGTGCCTTAGGCTGCAGGGCTTCTCCGGCATCATCCCGGAACCAGCCTGTGCTTCCCCACATCGCAGAGCGCACCTGCAGTGCCCGTTCCGTTCTGTTCCGTTCCTTCCGGTCTG